GGGTGCTTTTCATCGAAGGGGACAGGACGACTGCACTGTATTAAGGAGAGGATGAATGGGGCCATTTATTGTGATATTTTGAGCAACAACCTCCTTCCCTCAGTCAGAACATTGAAGATGGGTTGTGGCTGGGTCTTCCAACATGACAACGACCCAAAGCACACAGCCAGGATAACCAAGGAGAGGCTCCGTAAGAAGCATATCAAGGTTCTGGAGTGGCCTAGCCAGTCTCCAGACCTAAATCCAATAGAACATCTTTGGAGGGAGCTGAAACTCCGTGTTGCTCAGCGACAGCCCCAAAACCTGACAGATCTAGAGGAGATCTGTGTGGAGGAGTGGGCCAAAATCCCTGTTGCAGTGTGTGCAAACCTGGTCAAGAACTACAGGAAACGTTTGACCTCTGCAGGGGTGGACTGACAACTCATGGGGCCCCTGGGCAATAGGGGATCATGGGGCCCCTGTGTCCTTGCTCACACTCAAAGCACACCCAAAAAAGCCTATAAAAAGGTACCAGGGGCATTTCATGGGGCCCCCTACTGACCCTGGGCCCTAGGGCAGTGCCCGAGTACTTGAATGGTCAGTCCGCCCCTGGACCTCTGTAATTGCAAACAAATGCTTCTGTGCCAAATATTAACACTGATTTTCTCAGGTGTTCAAATATTTATGTTCAGCAGTGCAAGACAAATAAATTCTTTAAAAATCATACAAAGTGATTTCCTGAATTTTTTTTTTTAATTCTGTCTCTCAGAGTGGGAATGCACCTACAATGTGAATTTCAGACCCCTTCATGATTTCTAAGTGGGAGAACTTGCAAAATCGCAGGGTGTTCAAATACTTCTGTTCCTCACTGTAAATATGCTGCTGGTAACTGATGATTTCTTCCTGCAAATCACTGCACTTCATTCAGCAGCATTTTTTTCCTCAAGTTATCATATCATCTGTGTCTGCTGATTGCAGTCCATGTTGGGTTGGGAGGGTTGGTTAGCTGTTAGCCTGTAGTCGTTGAATGGATTATCAATATTTAACTGCATCTACATCTACTTTTCGCCTTCTCAGAAACAGACATTTTATTCGATTTAGGTTCCTTATTCTGTTGAGGAACCCTTGCCCATAAGAACAAATTTTCAGCATATAGGCCTGGCCGTAATTAGCACCAGTCTTGATAATACATTAATGATATTATCCGTTTGTTGGGAATTTTGTTAACCATACACAGGAGGGTATACAGACTCATGTAATAAACCTGCTTGCACATATTTTATTGTCTGGACATAGCATTCACTGCCTGTATTTAAATATATTTGTTTGGTAAACTGCCATGTTTTCTTCAAGGCATGCAAGCCTAATTTTTTTAGTAAATCAGTCTCTAGTAAACATGAAGAAATGCAATGATAAATACTGGAAAACTATGCTCATTTATCAATTGAACTTTGCTGCTTGCAAAGAAATGAAAAATGTAAAAGTTTGCACAATGCATGAAATTTATTGTGCTGATTGCATTTGAAAGGGATTTATTCTGTGTTTTGTTTTTTCCCCCTTTTGGCATTTTGTTGCAAAATGGCTTCTCTTTCAATATTTAAGCCAAAACCTACTCAGAAAAACTGACAACTACCTGATAATCCTCTTAAACTGTCATCTTGCTTTAATTCTAAACAATGCAAGACCTAATTTATGAGTTTCATATGAGAGACAAACAAATAAAACTTAGCGAAATATGGAAGTGTTTGCATTTTTTATAGATAATTGGCAAGAAGCTTAATCTCCAAAAGCTCATTTCTACATAAATGTCATTTTCCATGTAAGCAAAAGAAACAATGACATGAAAGGCTATAAAAGCAGCCAAAAATGGAACCTGTAACTGTATCATTTAAGCTGGAAACATTTCTCATGCAGTTCTCATAATTAGCTTATTACATTTGTTTGTACAGTATGTAGCTTAAAATAGTATAAAGTACAGGGAAAAAACAAGGCTACTTTATAGAATGTATTCCAAAAAATATTATTTTTTGTATCCTTAAATGATGATAATTTTGGAACATCCCCCAGTAGCAAATTTGTGACATGTGCCTGCCCTGGGTTGCACCAAAGCCACTTGGGCTCCATATATGTAACATGCTGTTTTTAAGAACTTGTGCAACTTCCCAGCCTCCAATAAGCATTAGATTTTCACTTAAAATGTAAAATTGATTTGCAACTTTGGGAAAATAATTTTATATATATATTTTACAATTTATATTACAATTTTTATTAAGTTTCACAAAGAAAATACTTTGCACAGCATTTTACAAAAACACAGTAAGCACCGCACGCAGCACCCGATAGGGTAATGTGACATGGGGCTAGTTAACTCTCATGGTAGATGAGTTATTTTAGTGAGTCCACATCAGACAGGATCTATTTTTAAGGGCTTGGCAGCCCACTTTTATTTACAAGAAAGCAAAAGTTCACAAACAAATTATTTCCCATGCAGGGGATCTTCTCTAACTTCAGAAATCTATGCAAAGGAAAATGCCGAGCCACATGGCTCAAAAGCTCACTCAGCTTCAATTACAGTACGTTTCCTAGATACTTGGCTCTCTCGCCTTTTGACACAGTGCCCTGCTGTAAGGCCCACCTCTGTCCTATGGATGGGGGTTCTTCTGACCCCTGAAGCTGACCTGGAATCTGGATCCTCTGTCTCTTGGCTTCTGGCTGGGTCCGCTGGCTCCTCGATGAGCCCTTTCTTCTCCCACACTGGGAGCATTCTCCAACTGGGAGCCCTGAGTTATTCTCAGACCTGAGTATACAGTATAACAATACCTCACACCTTTGTACTCCTGGATTGCATGTGTCTAGCAATACCCAGACACGGGATTGAATGTTCCGATCCAGATCTGCAGAATCCAGAGAAAGCCAAATCCGCAGCTTTCTCTGCCCAGAAACATTAGTCTGTTATGTCGCATTTACCCTAAATGCAAATCCTGTGTCACATTTACTTATCTTCTCACAGTACATAACAGTGTCCAACAGTCAGTAAACCATTTAGCAGTACTTATAGAGAAAATTCAACCTAGAAAATACAACCCAGAACCAAAAATGGTATATGTAAGAAAAAACTCCTAACTCCGCAGGCAGTCAATTATTCAGACAATACAGTTTCTAATAACATGCTGATACAAAAGGGCTGTAAACTGAAAGACATCCACTGGTGCTGGTGCTGATGCTGGTGCTAGTGGAATGTCTGATGCTGATTACCCCATTAAAGGACAGATGTAACAGGGAGCGGCAATGTTGTTAAATTAGTTTTTTTTCCTGCCCAACATGGATGCTTTTAAAATAGTGCAGGCAGTTTTTGAATTAGCAAATCTGTGTGCAATTTACTAAGTTATTTGATCTGGAAGCTCAATTTCCATTACCTCTCACTCAATCCTAGTGAAAATCGTTACAGTGGTTCTAAAGGCTAAGCATTTTTACTTTATTGCAATCTATGCATTAAGATAAAAACCACCAACTAACTGTTTTCCCCCTCCATCCCTAAAAACAACTTACCTGCCTCCCCTCACGGATCCAGAGCTGTTCCCAGCTTCATCAATGCTTTTTCTCTTCTTGCTTTTAAGGAGGCAATGAGAGCAGCAGGAGCCACAGGCACCTGCTGTGTCAGTCAAATCCTGCACAGAGCGAGCGGGGTGTGTGGTCGAGCCACACTGTGTGTATGTGTGTGTGTGTGTGTGTGTATGTGTGTTTGTGTGTGTATGAATCCTCACAACCCAGCTGGGAGCACACCCACATGAGGGCTCCCTCAGCACACTGCTTGCTGAGGGGGTACTCAGAGAAGAGAAGGAGAGGAGAGCCCTGGCGGGGGACTCAGAATAGAAACTAAGAGACCATTCTGTGCAATATCATTGCAGCATTCTACAAAAACACAGTAAGCACCGCATGTAGCCAGATAGGATACTGTGACATGGGGTAGTTAACTCTCCTGGTAGATGAGTTATTTTAGTGAGTCCACATCAAACAGGATCTGTTTCTAAGGGTCTATTCATACCAGTGCCAAGCACTCTCCCAACACAAGGTCAAGGCAAAATAACCTAATGTGCTATGACTTTGTTTTAGACCAATGTGCTGCATTGAAGTGTTCTGAAGAGAAATATAACATTCATTATTTGTATGCAGCATGTCCCAAAAAACTACATGGTAGAAGTTTGAGTTTAAAAAAAAGGTGATCAACAAGCCCTAGAAGTACATGGTCATCAGCAAAGGGTTGTTGTGTGTTTAGCCACTTCTGCACCATGCAATGTATGTAATTCAAAGTTTGTGTTGACCTGACAAGTTTGTCTCAATGTGGCAGTGTCTTCTGGGAAGGAAGATGTGTGTGGATGAAAGGTATTGTAGGTTTGGATCCCACACTGCAGACAGGAGGGTGTGGCAAAGAAAGTTAATGGAAATTGACTCATTATGTGCAAACTATATATACACTATATTGCCAAAAGTATTGGGGCACCTGCTTTTACACACATATGAACTTTAATGACATCCCAGTCTTAGTCTGTATGGTTCAATATTGAGTTGGCCCTCACTTTGCAGCTATAACAGCTTCAATTCACCTGGGAAGGCTGTCCACAAGGTTTAATAATGTGGCTATGGGAACGTTTGACCATTCTTCCAGAAGCACATTTGTGAGGTCAGGCAATGATGTCAGATGAGAAGGCCTGGGTCACAGTCTAATTCATCCCAAAGGTGTTCTATCAGGTTGAGGTCAGGACTCTGTGCAGGCCAGTCAAGTTCTTCCACCCCAAGCTCACTCATCCATGTCTTTATGGACCTTGCTTTGTGAACTAGTTTGCAGTCCTGTTGGAACAGGAAAGGGCCATTCCCAAACTGTTCCCACAAAGTTGGGAACATGAAATTGTCCAAAATGTCTTGGTATGCTGACACCTTAAGAGTTCCCTTCACTGGAACTAAGGGGCCAAGCCCAGACCCTGAAAAACAACCCCACACCATAATCCCCCCTCCAACAAACTTTATACTTGACACAATGCAGTCAGGCAAGTACAGTTCTCCTGGAAACCACCAAACCCAGACACGTCCATCAGATTGCCAGACAGAGAAGCAAGATTTGTCACTCCAGAGAACACATCTCCACTGCTCTAGAGTCCAGTGGTGGCGTGCTTTACACCATTGCATCCAACGCTTTGCATTGCACTTGCTGATGTAAGACTTGGATGCAGCTGCTCGCCATGGAGACCCATTCCATGAAACTTTTTACGCACTGTAGTTGTGCTAATCTAAAGGCCACATGAAGTTTGGAGGTCTTTAGCTATTGACTCTGCAGACAATTGATGACTTCTGCGCACTGTGTGTGTCAGGATGCGCTGTCAGTTTACATGGTCTACCACTTCAATTGGATGTTGTTCCCAGTTGCTTCCACCTTGTTATAATACCACTAACAGTTGACTGCGGAATATTTAGTAGCAAGGAAATGTCACTGATGGACTTATTGCACAGGTGGCAACCTATCACGGTATCATGCTTGAATTCACTGAGCTCCTGAGAGCGACCCATTCTTTCACAAATGTTTGTAGAAGCAGTCTGCATGTCTAGGTGCTTGATTTTATACACCTGTGGCTGTGGAGGTGATTGGAACACCTGAATCCAATTATTTGGAGGCGTGTCCCAATACTTTTAGCAATATAGTGTATGACTCAACTGGTGTTGTCTCAATACTGCTTTCCATTTCAATGCATTAAATCAAGAGTGTCTAACTCAATTTCATTGTGGGCCACATCAGTATTATGGTTGCCTTCAAAGGACTAGGTTATACTTTTTAGGACTAGATGTCCTGAGCACAATCAGATGTCAAGAGCTCCCCCCCCACCATCAACAGTCAAGAGTCCCCCACCCTCCATTATTTCTCAGTGCACCCCCTTACCTTGTGCTGCTGGTAGGAAGAAGCAGGAGATTAGAGCTGGGAAGCAGAAAATGCAGGTTCTTGAGGAGGACCAGAGGAGAATTGGAGTCAGTTGCCAGAGTCTGTTGAATGATGAAGCCACGGGAGGGAGAAATGAGGGAATGACGAATCTGCACAGGTCTTCTCCATGGCTGCATGGAGAAGCACAGGATCTTGCAGAGCAGTTCTGTCCTCCTCTCTTCTGCCAACTGCTAAGACAAAATAGGGGTAGGGACAAGGGGGGTGCCATAGCTACAAGAAAGGTGAGAGGGTAACATGAAATGGCCTAGTCGGACAGATTCGGCCCATCGGCCTTGTGTTTGACACATGTAGATTTTGGGCATACTACTAACTACGACATGGCTACTTGCAAAAGTCAGATTAAAGTGAGACCAATCTCTGCTTTAAAAAAACATAAGGATTCTATTCAAGTATGTATTGTTAACTCAAAGTACTTTTTATTGCTCTCAGTCTCCTACAATTTCTTCATTATGTTACTGTGATTTGACTCCAAGTGTGAGGGTGGCTACGTTCATTCTCCATGGTCCCGCTGTTGTAGGAACATAGCCAGCTTATCTTTCTTGCTCCTGAGGTGGACTAGTGGACTAGTGACTATGGACTATAGTCCATAGTTTTATAGTGTGCATAGAGTGCACGATTGCAACTAATACACACTGTTCATTCTAAACAAACAGAAGTGAAGGGGGAAAAAAAGCATATTAGCAGATTTAAAAAAAGGACAACATAAATGAAGAACAGACACTTGTATATATGTAAAGATGTGCTGGTTGCTTTATATCTTAAACAGCAGTTGCAAAGCATTTTTTTTTTCTTTTCTCTCTTTGTGAGTGACAGACAGGAAAAGCAGGACTGTGCTCTAATTGGTTGTTGCTACAGCTGAAAGGGATCCACCCATAGCAGCACTGTTGCAGCTGAACATATGATTGGCTGTGGAGGAAAAGGAGGGAGGAAAAAGGAAGAAGAAGCACATGTGGGGAGGCAGACATTTTCAGGGGACCACATGGAGCAAGGGTTCCTGGTGTAAAGTCACAGAGTCTCACTCTCTGTGCTGCTAGAGCCCATGGGCTGGGCTGGGAGTGTGTAGCAGAGGAATTGTTTGCAAGAGGACAGTGTGCAAATCAAGGATTGTCTTGCCTGACACGCAGGATTACAACCACTCAATTGCATGTGTCTCTCAAAGTTTGGAGCTGCTGAAAGAGAGATGATTTCTACTGCTGTCTAATGCTATCTAGAGGACAATCCAGAAACAGTGAGTACTCTGTGATGAAAGGGGATTTTGATATTGCTGCATTTGCTGTTCATCTCTGGAGAATGGTCATGAGACAGCCCGCTCTTTAATTCTCACAGATCTTGGAAAGCCAAGCTGCTCAGAATTAGCTATTCCTGATGCTGATTGATGAGAGAACTTTGTCACTGTATATTACTGGATTGTCTCCTCAAAACTTGTGCTGTGGCTGAAGAGTGTGTTTAGTTCCAAGTCCTCACAGAAGCTTGCTGCTTTGAATATAATGATCAAGTGTCAGTATATCAGGATTTCACCTGTATGGTAAAGATTTGTTGAAGTGTTGTTTTTCTTCTATTGCAGTGTTCACTGGAAGATTCTGCTTAACCTCCCTGGCGGTATGATTATGTCAGGAATTTTGTGCTGAAAGCGGTACCATTTTTTTGCATGGAAATATGTAGTTTTTTTTTATTGTAGGCTGTAATTTTTAGGAATAAACTCACTGAAATCTATCCGAAAAAGAGTCTATTAAACATTCCAGATATGATAAAACTTGAAACATGAAATTCTAAAACCGCTTTTGACGTAAAGGGATGCTTTTTGGCCGCCATGGACTTTTCTAAGTTTCCAGGCAGAAAGAACAGTCAAAATGCAGGCAGGGCACAGGACAAAGCAGTAGGGACAAAATGTATGTGAAATGCAGTGAAAAAGCAATGACAGCAAAAATGTCATTTTTTAAAAATTTCAAATTTCCCGCCGGTTCCGTCGCCCGAACGTTCCGACGTCACAGGGACCGGAACACGGAAGCCAGATGCCGGCATCCGCCGGAGGAGATGGACGGGGACGCTGCAGGGGACCCATCGTGGGAGCGAAGGACAAGGTAAGTGCTGCAGGGACCCCCAGAGAACGCTGCATGGTAAGCCCGAGTGTAGCTTGGGGTTACCGTTCTTGGTATAGAAATTCTACCCCGAGCTACACTCGGGAAAACCGCCAAGGAGGTTAAAGGAGACTGTGCTATCCTGCTACCCCTGGATTACAAATACTCTCCCATGCAGAGAGTGAGCACTCTTCCATAGATTAAAGGGCCCCAACGTTGAGAGACTTTAAGTTTCATCTCACTGGCCAGTGGTTAGGTAGGACATTTCTGCTCTAGATAGTACTGCTATAGTAAATGTCAATAATCTGCTAAACCTCATTAACAGTTATTGTTTTAGGTGTCAATGTCACTCTCATATGTCACCCTAGTCAGTGTGATACTAGTCAGTTTTTGGAGTCTTTGGTGAGTGAATTGTGACTTCTTACTAACTGTGTTTTGCAAGGTGGTATCTGTGTTTTATGTACATTACCTGTGTTAAATCATCTAGTTCTTTTTCAGGGTTTGTCTTCTTCAATAAAACCCTTAAAAAATATTCTCAGAGTGTTGAAGTGTTCTGGGTATAATCGAAGGTGTCACCAGATTCAGGTGAGAGCTGAACCTATATATCTAGCCAAGCATCACCCAAGGGTGTGCTACATATAGTTTTCTTTACAGTTTCGCTGTTGTATGCTTGACAAATTATTAGTGCTGTAAATGTACTGTATACAGTAGTATTTAATCATTAATATACTTTTTTATTTAATGCCTTGATTGCCTATGATACCTTAGTATTGAATTACATAGCATGTTTCTTCAGATCATTCTGACACAAGGGATTACCAAAATAACTTTGCATGGAAATTAGATCTGAAGTTAGTTTTATGAATAGATTGATCTTGATTTGCTATCCTAGTAAATAGTACAGTTAACAGATTTATAAACTCGCCTAGACTAAATGCTGAAAATATTTCTCTGCAGAAGCTGTCTTATAGCTGCTTGTAAAATGTAGACCAAGGCAATAAAGTACTGTAATTATTTAGCCAAAGCAGGTCAAAGCTGCTGTGATTAACAGGAATATACATTTCTGGATCAGTATGTTGCCTGACTATAACTACAAAACAAACCTGTTGTAAGGCTCAACTCTCAAATATTACTCTAGCATTTAGTTTTGTAAATGTGTTTTAGCACAGCTCCAGTCAAATTTTCTTTTAAACTTTGATTAGAGAGTGAAAAGGATAATGTACATTCACACCATATTTTTTGTGGTAATGTCCAGTGGGCTTCATGCGGCCATTGGGCACGAGTTAGGCAGCAGAGTGACAGCAGGTGTTGCAATGCTCTCTGTGTTCTGTTCACTGAAAGAAAGACTGTAATGAGGCAGGGTTATCTCTGGCTACAGTACAAATTAAGCGTGTGATTATGTAAGTGATCACCAAAAGGGAGGTAAGGGCGTTAATGTTCTGTCATGACCACCAATGCAGGGCAAGGGAGGGGGAATGCAGGGGATTTGGGGGAGTTAAACTTGACTGCCACTGACCACCAATGCAGGAGTGTGGGGGGATTAAATTTCACTGTTAGTGACCACCAGTGTGTGAAGGTGAGGGGTTAATAGCACTGACACCAGTGTTGGGGACTAATATTGCAGCCACTGACACTAATGTTGAAGGTTTTTATTGCATCTACTGACACTAATGTTGAGGGTTGTTATTGTGTCCACTGACACCAATGTGGCAGGTCATTATTGTGTCCATTGACACCAATGTTGAATGTTGAGGGGTTTTATTGCATTCGCTGACATCAATGCTGGATGTTATTAGTGTGTAAACTGACACCAGTGATGGGAAGTTATTATTACTGCCATTGACACCAATCTTGAGAGCTATTATGTTCACTGACATCAATGCTGGGGGCTATTATTGCACTCACTGACATCAATGGTGGGGGTTATTATTGCTTCCACTGACTCCACTGTTGAGGGCTATTATTGCACTCACTTACACCAGTGCTGGGGGTCATTATTACTAACACCATTGCTGACGGTTAGTGTACTCCATATCCTTCAGCTTCTGAATTGCAATATACTGTAAAAAAAATGTAGCAGTACAAAATATTTAGGTGCGTTATTCATTTTGAATGAGCTGCCTAACTTGATGTAATGCACCCTGTGCAATGAAAATTTGCTGCTATTGTGCAGCCCTCTGGAAATGTTGGGGGCTGCACTTGAGGCCCTCTATAATTTTCAAGTTGCCCATCACTTAAAGTGTACATAACCTTTTTATTGTTGTCTGTGTCCTCATTAGGTAGACTTTTTCTTACTCCCTATCTTTTTTGACAAGACAAGAAGTGAAGGAAAATATCCTAGTTCTTTTCAATATTAAAGGATAAGTTCACCTTTCATACATGTTACAAGTTACATCCATATTCAGCGTGTAACATGTAACATGTTATAAACATACTGGCCAGCATCTCGTTGTGACAGCTAGTCGGGGCTCTTCTTCCTGCTATCTGTCACAATTTTTAGAAAACGTAACCATGTCACCACATGGCCACATCAT